ATACGCTGTTGTTTGACCTACCATTGTGAGTACCCTTGTACCTTTGGTTTATGGTGTCTATTTTAAATTATATTGCATTATCTGCACCAGGTTGGGCGTCCTTTTTTCTCTTTTGTCTTCCAGTTTTACAGTCTCCCCGGCTGAAGTGGGGCAGCACCCCTAGCGATCCTGTACATGTAACAAACACATCATCAGGAATAGTGCACAGCGCTTTTGCTTTTTCTTATCTGCTTCCTTAGTGTCTTCTTACCACACAGCCTAGGGAATTGCTTGCACATACTTATGCGTTCCCGATTGCTAAATTTGCAAATCATGGTATGGAAATGGGATCATATGGCAGAAATCTAATGCAAACGTAGATAGGTTACATTCTTTGTATAATGTACACTTTCTCCATAAATGTACACAGCTGCAGTTTTCTTTATTTTAGTGTTACCTGCATCTGTAAATGGGACTTAAATACACATTAAAGCATTTTATATGTAGTCTTGAGAGATTTTATTACAAGCTTGGCACAGGCAGATCAATGTTTCTCTGCATTGCTACATCTTGAAAGTAACTGATGCCTGAAGTGTACCTGTCATCTAATTATTAAAAATTCTAGTACTGGCTGCATGGATGTGGTATAATGGGCAAAAGTTTATAAAGATCGCTTAACCTTTTGTATTTAATGTTTCGTAGGTTTTTAGCTCCAGTGTCCATCGTTATCTGTAATGATATAATGGCTTATATGTTCGGGTTTTTCTTTGGCAGGACACCATTAATAAAGGTAAGCAGCAAATCAGCAGTGACTATTGTACATGCACAGCACAGGGTGGTGCTTTGTTACATTTAAGTATTTAGAGTTAAAGCATTTGTCAGGGCCAAATGTAAAAAAAAAAAACGTATGCAGTACATATCTGCAATAAAAACAAATTTCCTCACATTTTTTTTTTTTTTAAGACCCTGCAAGTACAGAAAAATTCCAGTTGATTCACCAGAAATGCTGCCTGCTGCTAATTTCCTATTGTGGGCTAAGGGGCCAGTTCACACCATAAAGTCTGCGTTCCAGAGCGTTCGGGCTCTCGAACGCCGGCCGGCAGAGTCCCTGCGTTTAGGGGCGGGAGGGGGCACGGTAGTGCATCGAAGTCAATGGCACTGCAGCCACACACCGCACCCGGACCGCAGGTATGTTGGTGCTTGCGTTCCGGTTCAGTGCGATCTGCAAAAATGTAAGCACTATTTTTTCAGATCACACTGGACCGGAACGCAAGCACTAATGTGCCTGCGCTTCGGGAGCCGGCGATCGGACTGCGGGCTGGTGGCGTGGCTGCGGTGCCATTGACTCTTCAATGCACTGCCACTCTACCTCCCGCCCCTGAACGCAGGGAGCCGGCCACCTTGTGTTCCAGAGACTGAACGCTCTGGAATGCAGACTTTGTGGTGTGAACCGGCCCTTGCAACGAGCACCATTTTGTGGACTGAAATGTCAGGAAACAGTGTCAGCCCTGTCTTGTTGTCGGTTCTGAGATACTGAACTACCTCCCCTCTCAACATAGAGAATATGGGGTTTATTTACTAAAGACAAATAGGCTGTTCACGTTGTAATGGAGTTTTCACTTTGCAGGGGAATTTTCCTTAGCTCGGTGAATGTGGTAAAATTATATTTTGCATGGAATATCCAATCCCCCCCCCCCCCCAAAAAAAAATAAAATAAAAAATGAATAATAAAAAACTGTATTTTTGGGTGTACATGATAGGATGATGGAAGCCAGCAGAGCTGACTACGGTTTGGGAAAATTCCCTTGCAAAGTGCAAATTGCCTTGCAAGTGAACAGTTCATTTGCCTTTAGTAAATCAACCCCAATGTGTTTTGTAGTCCAAGATAAGGACTAGGAGCACTAATTGTACTCCTTGACATAACGCAGGAAGTGTGCACAGGGCATAGGACAGCTCTGAACTTATAAGATCAACTGCCATTTAATAATGTTCTTAAACTGATATATCAAAACTCCTTCCACGGTATATTTTCCGACACCAACAGAAGCAAATAAGAAAAGTTAATTGTTAAAAGTTACATTTACTTAAGGCCTCGATCACACCAGGGCGGGTGCGGTTTCCGCACGATTTTGTAAAAGGCGGTTTTGGGCATTTTGTATTGCGTTTTAGAGCTGAAAAAAAACTCCCAAAAGCGCGCTGATCAACGCGGTTCCATTGAAAGCTGTATGGAAAACGCACTGATCAGCGCGGCAGAAGAAGGTCAGGGAGCAATTCGGGTGGGAGGCCTTAACCAGTTTCATTCACTGCTGCTGGTTTTATTTCTCTATTTTGCAAATCTTGCAAAATAGAGTTTCATCAGTTTCATTTTTGCACATTTTTGTTTCATTTTTGCACATTTTTGCACAGCTTGCAAAATAGAGTTTCATCAGTTTCATTTTTGCACATTTTTAAGAGCTCCCTATGATTGTTTCATATTTGCATGTGATCCGCAGTAGAAATTGTGTAAAGTTCCTATTTGTGGAAGTTATTGAACTGGAATCCTGGCTCCAGCCAAAACCTTTTCACATTTGAATTGAGTAGGGAAGGTATACTACTCCTGTCAGGTTTTTATTGCAGTCTGTGTCTTCCTGTCCTGGTGACAACCACTACCTTCAGTTCTTGTACTGCTGTCACAGGAACAAGAAGTGACCTCACAATGGGGTCCCGGATACCGATTAAGAACTTGATAGGAATATTGAAAATTCTATTAAAACAAATGGCAGACATGGACTTGCCAGGGAGCACAACTAGGTTATACGATGTACTTAAAAGTAGCACATGTACTATAGAAACAGCAAAGCTTTTTATTTATATTTATTTGCATACATTTAAAAATATAAGAATATTTTTAAAAAATGCATTAGGTATGACTCCCCGTACATCTCAATTTTTTTTGTAGCTCTGGATGGAGCAAGGGATGCTTAAACACTTGTAGGTTTTTGGGGTTCTTTTGCCATTGGGGAGATTTCATACAGACAGCAAAAAAACTTGACCAAGGCTATATATAGCTTTTCCCCAATCCAAAAATGAAAATAAGTTTTTTTTGGCTTTGGATGCACTTTTAGGTAAACCAGTCACTACCCCTGACAAATGAAACTAACCTTTCTAAAGATATTTTTCAAGCAAACTAATATTTACACTAATAACTTAACACCGATAATGTTTGTTCTTTTTCCAACTAGTTGTCACCCAAAAAGACTTGGGAAGGTTTTATTGGTGGATTCTTCCTGACCATAGTATTTGGATTCCTTGTAAGTATCTGTTTCCCTCTTCTACTTTAGATATCTTTTTGTTGGGCCTTTTGTGGTGATCATATAGCTTCCCATAAAGGCTATGTATCAAAGTACTAATGAGTAGCTCTGTTGGAAAGGATAAGGGGAAGCCCCCTTAGATAGCCCTTTTAGATGAACAGGGAAGTTGTTGCCCATTTTATTCTTATTGTAAATGGAAAAGTAATTTAGTCTCATTGCTCATCCTGATATTGATACATTGTATGGCAATCATTTTGTGTTCATTCATGGTTTAGAATGTGTACAGGAATGCTCTTTTGCTGAAAGTTCAACAGGCAAACCCATTCACTGCTTGAAAGCTCAGCTACAAACAAGTTGCCAAACTAGAGTCCCTTAAAAGGACCAATATTGTGAAATAAACCTTTTTTGTTCAACTTCTACAACATATGTTCAATTTACATCCCTGAACATTAACCTGTTCTTTTTTTTTTCACAGGTACTGTTTCAATATAAGGTCGCTTACTGTAATTTATGGCACCATATAAGCACTATTGTGGCTTTAAGATTTAGAAATGAGCTTTAGTAATTGTGCTTCCACCGCTACCAGTAAAATGTAATATCAATGTGACAATCAGTAAAATCAAATCATAAGGAGTATCCTAGTATTTGCATAGGAGCGTCCACTATAAGCATTCAGTAAAGATCCCGTAGGGGCCATTTTATGAATCTTCTACTCAACCATATGCTGGGCGATTGCCATCACTGGATAGAGTTTATGCTCCTCAGTGTCATATAGTGTCAGGACTGCCAAGTGGACGGCATTAGCCCAGCTATATGCTGCGAGGAAGATTTATAAAACAGCCCCTTAACATTTACATACTAAGCCAATTTAATTTAACTTTCCTAGAGTCACAGCAATAAAAGCATTCTGTAAATGGTTACAGTATTTAAAGTGACCCTGTCACTTTTGGTTAAGGATGTGCATGCCTTGGTTAAAAGTAGAAATCACTAAGTGTGTATTCATCCTTTGCTGCAGTGTAATGGTTGACTGGAAACTTAAATGGTTGGTGTTCGGTTGATAATATATGAGAAACTATCGTGTTTCCCTGAAAATAAGACCCTGTCTTTTTTTTAATATATTTTGTGGCTCAAAAAAACACGCTAGGTCTTATTTTCGGGGTAGGTCTTATTTTTGTTTTTTTAATGTACAACAATCCACACTTATTCATGTAGAAAAGTCTACATGTATTCATGTACAAAAACATGGTGATCAGGGCAATCAGGGGTGCCGTACCTTACCAAGAGCAATTTGCTAACCAATCGCTGGCCAGAATGAGCGAAGCGCACTTTTACTATCCATTCCTCACAGGCGGAGTGCATTTGGCATCACTCCGCCTGTGACAGGAGCCAGCGCTATAGAGTAGGCATTGGCTTATGCGGCTCTGCTCCCTCCGGTGCCGCCTCGCTTCCTCTAGTGCTGGCTTCGTTGGCACCGCTGATTCTCTCCTGCCTCTCTCGCGGCTCTTCAAGTTCCCCCTTATACCACCACCGGCCCTGGGAAAGGTCACAACTAGGTCTTATTTTCGGGGTAGGTCTTATATTTTAGCAATTCCCAAAAATAGTACTAGGTCTTATTTTCGGGGTGGGGTTTTACTTTCGGGGAAACACGGTATTACCGTAACACTATGGGGGGAATTTACCAAAATCTGGAGCAGCTGTGCATGGCAACCAATCAGAATTTCTCTTCAGTTCAGTTAAGATTTGAAAACAAAAGAAAGAAGCTGATTGGTTGCCATGCACATCTGCTCCAGATTTTGTCTGCTCCAATTTGGATAAATTCCCCTCCCTGAGTTTTCTAAACAAAGATTAGAACAGTAGTTGTTTCTCTGACCATGGTTTGGAGGAGTCACTGCTCTGGCGTATTTATAAATTTCACCTTGAGCTACTGAGCTTTGTAAACAGAAGTAAGGATAGCCTAAAAAGAACGTGAAAAAATAAAGATGATATATAAGAAACAACCATCCATTTAATTAAAATACGTGAACTTTCAGACACAAAGTACCTCCCTCCCTCCCCTCCCCCAGTTGTATACTGACCTCCAAACTGCTTGTAAAATCTTATTTGAACTGGGCATACCTATGCAGTGGATCCCCCATAGACTTCCATGGGGCTGTTTCCCCAGGGGGACACAGTTTTTTCAACTATTTTTTTAAATAGTTTAAATTAATAGTTTACATGTTTTTAACCAACGGTCATCTCTGCATTTTCTGCTTCGCAGTTTTCCTACGTCTTAGTACAGTTCGAGTACTTTGTATGCCCTGTGGCATATAACAGTGAATCCAACAGCTTCTCTACCGGCTGTGAACCATCTGAGATCTTCAGGCTGCATGACTATGCTGTACCCCCCTTTCTACAGTCATTACTGGGATGGGTAGGTATTCTGTAGTTTCAAAACAAGCTGAAACAACATAGAGAAATATGTACCCTGCAAATGGGTGAACGTTTCCTCATCAACATGTTCATGAAATTCAGTGCAATTCGTTTTTTTGTTTTTTTTATCATCATTCTGACCTTTTTATATGAAGAGGCTTTTCCACAAATGTGTACCAGGAGTTTCAGATGCTTGTGGCCTATTTATTATGCCTGTTTTAAGCACTTTCACATGCTTCAAATGTAGATTTATTTATTTTTTCCTATCGGTGTTTATAGAATTTAAGACTGCCATTACAGGTAGACCCGGATTAGCTGTTTACGTAGGAGTGCTATTTTAAGGAACTTGTAGTATTCAGTTATGTAGATGAGACTGCCATTATCGGGGATAGTATGTAATGTACATGATACACTCACAGACTTCATATATCAGGTGATCAAGGTTTCTTTTTTAAAGTGTATGTAAACCCAAAAACAAAAGTTTAATATATTGCAGCTTACCTGTATTTTTACCTTGTAATCACGAAAATAACCCTTCCTAGTGTTTTAAAAATGTTTATGCATCCAGTTCAGCTCACAGGAATTGATAAGGACACTGCATTTCTGGAAAGGTCAGGATGTAGTTTTTGTACCTCCTGAAAATGTTCTTAAAAACGTCCTAAAAAAAAAAAGAATGCAGCTGCCACATGGTAAGCTGCAATATATTACATTTTTGTTCTTCAGTGTACCGTAGTTACTTTTCGAAGTACAGGGCCTCGTATATTAAAGTGTCTCAGGGAATAATCTGTACTTTGCCCATAGCAAATTTACTCCTTCAGGTTTTAGTGCAAGATAGAATATAATGGAGAAGCTACTTTGGTAGGTTCTAGGCTTCTATAAGAAAAGTACGGGTGATGTTTGTCTTTTTATTTAACTTTGTGCTCTATGAGCAAGCCTTCTGCAGTCTTGCCTTATCATTAGATATATGGAAGAGGGAGATCACATTTGTCTCTTTTTAATTAAAATTGGTATTCTATGTGCAAGCCTTCTGTAATCTTTCTTTATTATTGGTTATTTTTAGCAGCAGTGTGTAATAATAGAGGTTAAATTATTAATATCTGTCTTCTAGAAAACGGTGCAGTTGTATCCATTCCAGATTCATAGCATTGCTCTCTCCACATTCGGATCATTGATTGGGCCATTTGGAGGATTCTTCGCCAGTGGCTTTAAAAGAGCTTTCAAAATTAAGGTAGGCCCTGCATTGCCAATGTTTACAACATGCAAATGCCATTTATTATTAGGGAGCATTCTAAAGCACATCTCTTAATATTAATAATGTTATTTCTTTTGTCATCTTTCCTTATTGGGTGATAATAAATTACTACATACAAAAACAAGCACTAGGATAATTTTATTATTCATTAATGTGTAGTGTTATCTGAGATCATTCAAAACGTATTGGCAGGTGTATTTGGCTTGCATTTCACCTGTTTCAAAGGAATTCCAGTAGAGTATGGAAATGCAAAACCTGCTTGAAAGCGAACAATAGCTTAGGCCCTTAGTGTGCTGATTCTAGTGTGGGTCAAAGTGCAGCTGACTGAGCTAATTTTCATTATGTATGAACAAAGATTTAAATTCTGCTTTTGGCAGTTTCTTCTGGGATGGTTTTTTTTTTTCTTTTAACCTATTCTGGACCATCTTTATTGCCACCCCCAGTATGATAAATGAATCATTTAAGCAATACCTGTAAGAAATAAAGACTTGACTTGCTGTATTTTTCTTCAAGACGCTTCACTGGTCATCTGACTAGCTTTCTCAGTTCTGAATTATTTATAAAACTAGTCCAGTTGCTTTGATTTATTTATTACAGATATACGACCTGAATGAATGAGAACCTGCAGAGACAGTTTCAGCTATAGTTTGAAGCACTCCATGTGCGAGCGTTGCCATGCATTCTAGATGTGTTGTGATTTGAAAAACTGATTTGAATGAACTGGTCACAGGTTATTGGGATACCATTGACCACTGTTGAATTAGAGTATTTAATTAACATTGGATAGTCATTAACATAAATGTTTTTTTTTTTTTCTTGCGCAGTCTTTACCATAGTAAAGTTCTATAATGTGTTACTTTTACAGGATTTTTCTGACACCATTCCCGGACATGGCGGAATTATGGATCGCTTTGACTGTCAGTATCTGATGGCAACCTTTGTCCATGTTTACATTGCCAGCTTTATAAGGTAGATTATCTTTATAGCAAGCACATTTACCTTATAACCAGCCCATGCTTTGTAGAAAGATATATTTATTTGCTAATTGTGTCGATAACAAGCTGTGTCAGGCATAGACTGAAAAAGAATACAAACATTGTAGTAAAATTTATAAATGGCCAACATATTCTACGGCTAATGACACAACATCATCAAGAAATGTGTATATTATGTAGAAAATGATTCCTGGGTTAGACGTCTTTGGCTGGCCTCTTAATATACTTAATATAAAATAAGGTATATAAAACCTGTAGTATGATGTAGGTGACAGTAATTCTTCAGCATGCTGGGAACTTCCTGTCATTAGAGCTTGGGTTTACTAATCTGTTTTTGTTAGTCTGTTGAGAGAGCAGAGTAGTCAGCTAAGATGTTGAAACAATTTTCTCTGTTGCATTTGAGAGTAAAAATTAGATAAAAGAAGACTTCTCTGGAAAACTATATGACAAAAACCAAGAAGAAATGCATTGCTGTCATTTGAACCCATGGGTTTTACTTTTGAGTAGTTTTCTCCTCATTTGCCATCAGAACAAGAAGTTAAGGGAACTCTCTTGAACAAAGGACACAGACAAAAACAGATTTTTTAGTAAAGAAAGGAAGGATTAGAGTGAGATGTTACCAATGGGTAGTCCATGAACCCATCGCACTTCTGATCGCTTAGTCCAAAAACAACTGGTGGGTGCTGCGGTCACCAACGGATGGGCAGGGACAATCACAAAATAAAGATAGGGCACTGGCACTCTAAATAGACTCCAAGACATGTCCTGCCTGAAGAAGGGGATCCTGCGTAACCTTAAAAACATTGCATTTATGTGATATGTTGCATTTACGTCAATAAAAGACGCACTATTCACTATTTAGATTGCCGTTGCCCCATCTTTACTTTGTTACCAATTATGGGCAAACCAAATAAAAAAAACTGGCAGACATTGTAACTCTTCTACACTCTATCTTAAATTAACAAAATAACATTTTGGCTGGAATTGGGCTTTCATGTGCCTGGTGAAAAATATGCCTGGAAATTAATAAAGATTTAAGATTCTATCTAGGGCACATGTGGATGTGCAGGTGTTACTCAGGCATAACTTGCTTTAGATCGGTCTAGAAATATTTAGGCTTGGCCTGGCATAAACATTTATGGCTATTGGTAGGGGAAGGAGGGGTATGGGCAGAAAGCTCCAGTGCTGGCATATCTGTGGAGGAATAAAAGCGATCAGACAAGGTTCCTGCTCAATTCATCATATTCCCCAGAGACCAGATGCCATACACATGAGATGTCACATTGTCTCAAAGGAGGGGACACTTCATGACTGAAAACAGTCTTTCGGTTTTTCTGTGCAATAAAGTATTTTTTATAAAACATTGGTGTACTAGTGACAAATACTGACACAAGTTGCAGAACCCAACTATAAAAAAAACAATGGGGTGTTAGCTGCTTTGTTTAGTAGACAGACATGGCCAAAAATGTTGGCACCCCAGCATTTCTGTCAGATAATGCACCACTTCGCACAGAAAATTGTTGCAATTACAAATGTTTAGGCATTCTCATGTTTCTTTCCTTTGTATGTATTGGTATGACACAAGAAAGTGGAGAAAAAAAAAGGCAAATCTGCCACAGTCCACGCAAAACTCCAAAAATGGACTGGACAAAATTATTGGCACCTTCTCCAAATTGCAAGAAATAATTGCATTCCAAGTTTTTGTGGCATAGCATGGACAATCTCAGGGTTACAAGTCCATCTCCAGAGATCTTAATGTTCCTGTGTCCAGTGTGCACAAAATTGTCCAGAAGTTTACAGCCCATGGCACTGTAGCTAATCGACGTGGATGAAAGAACAATTGATCAAAGATTGCAACAGACGATTGTTCGATTGGTGGATAAGGACCCTTGATCAACTTTCAGACAAATTCAAGCTGACCTTCAGGCACAGGGTACAACTGTGTCAGCTAGCACTATACAACAGCAAAAGTTTCCCGGCACACTCCCCAGCCAGCATGCAAAAAAACATGTCTAACTGCTAAGTTTAAAAACAGGTTTTTAGATGCACGTCTTCTGCAGAATATGTGGAAGCCGCACTGCTCCGCCAAGGCACCTCTATATAGTGCGGCCCTAACTCTAACCTATGAGAGTCTCCATCTTGGAGCACATGTAGCAAAAGATAAAATAAAGCTGGTGATAAATCGATGAGTGCGTTTGCCATTTGTTTTGCTTGACTGATTTGGTGCAGTGACATATCTGGGGTCCCAGCTGCCATTGTGATGTGCGGGGTCCCTTGTGTGTCCCTGTGCCTTTTAAGGAGGTTGGGCTGCCTCCTGGTGAACCTGCACTCAATTTTATCTTTTGCTACAGGACCGCAATACACAGAGGTGCCTTGGCTAAGCAGTGCGGCTTTCACATATTCTGCAGAAGACCTGTCTCTAAAACCTCGATTTTTAACCTTAGCGGTTAGACAAGTTTGTTTGCATGCTGGCTGGTGAGTGTGCTGGGAAACTTTTTGCTTTTGTACTGTTTAAAGCCCTTCCATGTGCACCTTGCTTTAAAGCTGCTGATAAGTGGATGAGTGCGTTTGCCATTTGTTTTGCTTAGCTCGCACTATACGTCGCCATCTAAATGAAAAGGGACGCTATGGTAGGAGACCCAGGAGGACCCCACTGCTGACACAGAAACATAAAAAAGCCAGATTGGAGTTTGCCAAAACTTACCTGAGGAAGCCAAAATCCTTTTGAGAGAATGTGCTGTGGACAGACAAAACAAAATGACCACTTTTTGGCCCATCATTCTACTGTTTTCAGAAAAAGAAATGAGGATTTAAAGAAAAAAAATACAGTCCCTACAGTCAAATATGTTGGAGGTTCACTGATGTTTTGGGGTTGCTTTGCTGCTTCAGACACTGGATGTCTTGAGTGTGCGCATGGCATTATGAATTCTGGGGTGCAATGTAGGGCCCAGTGTCAGAAAGTTGGGTCTCCGTCAGAGATCATGGGTCTTACAGCAGGACAATGACCTACAGCACACGTCAAAAAGCACCCAGAAATGGTTTCAGACAAAGCACTGGAGAGTACTGGACTGGCCAGCAATGAGTCCAGATCTGAATCCCATAGAGCTCCTGTGGAGAGATCTCAAAACAGCAGTTGGGAAACGGAACCTTCCAATCTGAGAGACCTGGAGCAGTTGGCGAAAGAAGAGTGGTCCAAAATTCCTGTAGAGAGGTGTAAAACTCATTGATGGTTACAGGAAGCTGGGCTACCAAATATTGATTGAGGGTGCCAGTCATTTTATCCAGTCCATTTTTGGAGTTTTGTGTCATACCAATACAAACAAAAGAAAGAAACATGAGAATGCCTAAACATTTGTAATTGCAACAATTTTCCGTGCGAAGTGGTGCATTATCTGACAGAAATGCAGAGGTGCCAATATTTTTGCTCATAACTGGCTTGGCAGGCAGTGTGGGATTAGTAACATCGATGAAATCGACTCTTAGTAGAGGATAGCTTATAGCGAGGTAAAGCACTAGATTAGAGTGAAAACTGCTAGTGGCAAGTACTAGAGGGAGCAGAATGATGTGTGCCAATCAGCTGGGAGAAGGTAAGATGCACAGTGAATGGTGATAAGCCCTGGACAAGCCTGTATAGTGAGAGCTCAGACAGTTATAATAGTGCTGTAACCAGTGTTGTATTCTGGTTTGGGGCTGCCCTAGGCGAGACGAAACTAGGGCACCCCCTCCCCCACACTAAATCTGCAGGATCTGTGGTGGGCTCGGCCATAGACCCCGCAGAGTTCACCACAGATCCTGCAGAGCGCCCCGAGACCCTGCAGAGCCAACCACAGATCATGCACGCGCACACACACACCCCCCCCCCTC